TATACATATACATATGTTCCCCTATCTCCTCCCTCTTGCGTCTCCTCCCTCCCACCCTCCCTATCCCACCCCTCCAGGCGGTCACAAAGCACCGGAACCTCATTCGTGTTTACATGTGGAATGTGGCCCTCGCCATGAGACAGGAAAGAGAAAATCGTGCTCTCGTGCCACCCTCCTTAGGAGGAATGAGGATTGTAAATAACAGTTAATTCCCTCCCAGTCCAGTAAATAAACAAGTTCAAATCACGTGGTTTCCAGCCCAGGGCTCTTCCATCTGCCCTGAGGTCTGTGAGATTGACCTGGGATCATTACTCAGGGGTCCTGGCCTCCTTCCCTCCTCCAGGGCCTGCCCAGTCTTTTTCTCTGGTCTCTCGTTGTTTCTAGCTCTCTGTGCTTCATGTTATCTGCTGATTTGTTCTCAGTGGAAAGCCCCGGACGGAGGTCGGGGTAGGAAGAGGGCGGGCCGGGGTCCTCATTCCTTTGGCTTTCTCTCTGCGGGGTCCAGCTGTCTCCCTCGGCTAAAAGAAGCTGCCCCTCTCCAGGAAAGCCGTCCTGCAGGGTTCCTTGCCTTCTGGGGCTTGGTAACCGCTTCCCCAGCTTGTACCAGCCCTGCATTCTCCAGTCTGGTCCCTACACTCTGTCCTCACCTTTGCAAATAAACCTTTCTTGAATTTCCCACAATTCAGTGTTCTGTTTTTTGACAGAGACACTGACAGGTTGAAGGACCTCCTTGTTAAACTCTTGAACTAGTGGAGGGACATAAGGAGGGGAACTTCAGGCCCCGTGGTCCCTCGTGGCGGACCCATATTTTGGTGAGGACTCCTTCATTTATGTCATTAGGCAATCGTCTGACTTATTTACTTCTTATTGCCAACTTCGAATTGTTGAAGCCCAGCGCAGTTCTTAAATAAAAAATATGTGCCCAGCAAATGGAACCGATTTTAAAAGGAATTGCTCGTGGTGATTTAGTGAATTGTCAGGATTCTATTTCATAAATAACAAAATAGAAATTAGGAGCATGTCAGAGCTGCATTAGGGCTCACCCATAAATAAGAATCATTTTATTAGAGCTGGTAAATTATGCTTACTTAATTCACATTGTCATGCCTGCCACTTTGCTATATATCCTGTGGGTTTTTCACTCCCTGGATGTGTTACAGTTCAGCAAGACAAACATTTTGGGTAACTGATATATTAGGAATGCAGTTATGAGTAAATAAATGTTACTTTTCTGTGTTTCGTACAGTAGTGATTGGCTTTTCTTCTGTTGACATGTAGGGCTGAGCTTCATGAAAATGGGAGATTAATGCATCCTCTGTGTGTGTCTCTCTCTCACTCTTTTTAAGGCCAAGTGTGAAAAAGAAATGAAAACATGAAGAGTCTGTTAATGAATGTGAGATGCCGGAATAAAGGAGTCTTTGCTCTTCAGCTGTGTGGCATTGATCCCACTAATGGTTTGGCTTCTGAGGAGAGAAAACCTTTGATCCGCTCAGTGAGTTGACGGTCACAGGACAGGTGGTCATGTCATGCAGGCCAAGTCCGAAGACCTGGGAAGCAGGGCATTTCCAGAAGACAGTTTCCATAAGCGTACAGTCCAGACCAGGGACAAGACTGATACATTCACGAAAGTGTCAGTAACACTGAAGGGCGACACGGGACCGGGATGAGGGTCAGGGGGGTGGGAGGTGTCTGAGGGGCCCTCCCAGAGCCATCGAGCTTGAAGGACACGTCCAGGTAGAGACCTGTGTCTCATCTCTTCTGTTTGACAAGGATGCCCAGGTAGAGATCTGTGTCTCGGCTCTTCCGTTTGACAAGGTCAGTCCTTATCAGCACCCCCCCGCAATGTCTGCGGCATCATAATCTCTTTACACAGCTTCTCCCTCATCCCCAGGGCTCAGTGACCTTCAGCTCCCTCCTGCCCTGGGTTCCTCACCAGATGGTTCTTCACCCCTCGCCCCACCACATCATCGTCCCATCTCAAACTCTCTCCCCTTCGCCTTTGAAAGCACCTATTTTTGTTCTATTTTTTCAGGCTCCTGTCTACTAGATGATAATGGGATGAAAATAATGCATATAAAACAATTAATATACTATTAATAAGTTACCCCTTCCTGGGAACATAGTGCCTTCAGCCAATGAAGATGCTCCAGGTCAGGTGCCTTGACCATCCACAGGGAAGGTGAGGAGAGGAACTCTCTGGGACCCTTCACATCTTAGCACGTGGGTGGGAGCTCCCCATTCAGGGAATGACATGCTTTCACAGGCCTTGTAAGGTCTCTTCCTGGAAGGCTCTCCCCGCACCTCCAGACCTGCCTGGGGCTGCCGGACTGTATAGACTTTCCCTTAGTGTCACACTTTTGAAAGCACTCTCCTAGCTGAATATTTTGCATTTGATCCCCCAAATGGTAAAGGAAGGTACTTTTCTCATTTGACAGTTGGGGGAAGCGAAACCAATAATAACAGAGTGTAGGACCCAGGCCTCCTGAACCAGCATGGACCCTGCCACCCCTGTGGCTTTTCTGAAGATGCCACCCAAGTGAGTCTGATTTGCTTAAGACATCTGGGCTTAATTTCTGAAATCAGAAAAGAGGGGGGCAGACATGGTGAATGGATACATTGTTGCGGTTAGTTTAGCTCGTTGAAGCAGTCAGATGTCCTTTGTGGTGGTTGTAGTCACATCAGTGAGAGCCAATGATTTGTGCTTAAAGTTTAGTGAAACATTGTACTATATTTGTTTAATTATTTCCATTTTACAGATGAAGAAATTGAGGTTGAGACGTGCGAAGTGACTTGTCCGAGTTGACTCTGCTGGTCACAAGGTGCCAGGCTTCCCTACCCAAATCCTCAGTGATGTCTCTTTCACTTGGAGGATAAAGGAAGAACTGAATTCAAGTTATTGCAGACTACAAAATCGCTACCATTGTAGTGACTGTAGTCTGCAATTACTACATCTCTTAGATATTGAAAATCACATGTAGTAAAAGACTAATCATACACATTTGTTGGGTGTTAGTACCACAGTCCATCTCCGTATTTAAGCAGAGTTGATTGTTTAGAAAATGTGAGAAATAAACAGAGAGCTATTTTCTGGGTCAGTGAGGGTAACCCCTACCTTGGAAGGATTAATGCAGGCATTTATAGGCAATGAATAAGAATACTGTGGCCGTGTATGTGGAGGATCCAGGCATAGCATTTAGAAATTACAGGAACTGGAAAAATTTCCCTCCAGTCTCACCAACGTGTTCAATGAACTTGACTGAGTGCTTTACAGGGCAGGACTGTACTGAAGGCCACCAAGATGGACGACACTTGTCCCCTCCCAGACCACGCGGAATTAGGAAGACGCCACGGAGAGCGCCAGCCGCAGCTGCGGAAGTGCCTCCCATGGTGTCCAGCGGGCCAGTTCTCAGGGGACTTAGTTTATTTTTTATTCAAGTATAGTTGATTTACAATATCGTGTTAGTTTCAGTTATTCATACATACATGTATATGTGTGTATATATAAAAATATATATATCCTTTTTCAGATTCTTGTCCCTTATAGTACAGAATACTGAGTATCGTTCCCTGCACTATACAGTAGTCCTTGTTGGTCGTCTGCTTCATGTATAGTATGTGTACATGTCGATCAGGGGATTTATTGAAGAGCAGAATGGACAGAATGGAAATCCAAATGTCCTCAGACCATGTTCTCTCTACAGCCTATGTGAAGATATCCTAGGAACTTACGTCAGTTATTTGCCTCTAAATATTTTGTTTGTGGAGCAACGAGACAGAATTGGGTGAGAGAACCACTGCGCTCTACACGAGGAGGCCTGAGCTCTGATCGCCATCACATTGCCAACCTGGGGAGCCTTTGGGGAGGCCACTTGAATTGAATGGCAGGACAAACTGGTTAGGATCCCACGAGAACGCCTCGTGTAAGCCTCGCCTCAGCTGTGCCTGGCGTAACCTCCATCGCCTTCCTTTATCAACCCAGGCCTCGGTTGCCTCATCTCTGCAATGGGGGCACCGTCAGAGCCCAGCTCACAGGTGATGGTGAGGCTCAAAGAAGCTGAAAATCAAACAGAGAGGGCTTCCCTGGGGGCGCAGTGGTTGAGAGTCCGCCTGCCGATGCAGGGGACACGGGTTCGAGCCCTGGTCTGGGAGGATCCCACATGCCGCGGAGCAGCTGGGCCCGTGAGCCACGAGTACTGAGCCTGCGCATCTGGAGCCTGTGCTCCGCAACGAGAGAGGCCGTGATAGTGAGAGGCCCGCGCACTGCGATGAAGAGTGGGCCCCGCTCTCCACAACGAGAGAAAGCCCTCGCACAGAAAGGAAGACCCAATGCAGCAAAAATAAATTAATTAAGTAATAAACTCCTACCCCCAACATCTTAAAAAAAAAAAAAAAGCTGAATAAAAAGAATAGAATAAACAGGGAGCCCTGTACGTAGCACTGGGGGTGCCAGGCACTGTCCCACCACTTTCTGTATCGTTGTTCTTCACTTCTCAGAGCTCCACCTTCCTTATCTCTACGGCGTACAGATAATAGCTGCCTTACTTCCTCTTACAAGATTCTGCTGAGGGCCAAGAAAAAACCCTCCGATAATTGTGATTTCAAGAAGAATATTCTTTTAAAATGACAAAGATATATTTGTGGTGATAATTATTATCAGCATCACTAGCCTCGGAATTCCCCTGCTTTACAGAATCCTTGAGGAGGAGTGCAGGAACCGCAGTGGGCAGAAGGATCGCATTTCACGGATATACTTGTCCAGCAACGCGTCACCCCTCCCGGCCACCCGCTGCCCGTGGAGCCGTGCTGAGCCGTGACCGTGGAACACGGGCAGCCCAATGCTGAGGACCACCAGTGATGTGGAAAAGTGGGGGCGAGCTAATGAAAATGGAAGAGGTCCTATTTTTAAAAAAATTTTTATTGGAGTAGAGTTGATTTACAATGTCGTGTTAGTTTCAGGTGTACAGCAGAGTGAGTCAGTTATACATATACATAGATCCACTCTTTGTTTTAGATTCTTTTTTCCCATATAGGTCATTACAGAGCATTGAATAGAGCTCCCTGTGCTATAAAGTAGGTCCTTATTAGTTATCTACGGAAGAAGTCCAATTTAAGCCTCGTTCATGTATTGGAAATCCGTGCTGCAGTTTATCCTCCAGTCATACACCACGCTCAGCATCGTCTGCCCACGAGAACTTTGGGAGCGTATTGACTCAGTTGCCCCCACGAGTGATGAGCTCCCTGTCTTTGCCCGACGGCTCCCTGTCAGCGGGGGCTGCCTGTTGCCCCCTGGCAGACATGATGGGGAGGCTCAAATAAGCCTATTAATATTCAGTCAAATGCCAATAAAGTCCTTGTGCAATGTGATTCATTCACCATATTGATCTACCCTTTTCAAGCCGAGAGCAAATTAAGTGAGCATTGGCTTGTGTTACCTTGAAAACGCAGTACAGGTAAAAATCAAACTGTAATCTTCTGTGTACTTGGAAGATAAATTGGAAAGGCTATTCTTTTGGCGCTCAATTTAGTGTGCCCAACCACTGTCTGGGGGAAATCAGGGCCTCTGGCGGCACGGCAGGGTTTATCAGAAGGTGTCTCTGGATTCGAAAATGATCTAATGAACAATTCTGCTTGTGTTCTGCATCTTCTAAAAATAGTGTCAACAAATTGGCACCATCTCCTAAATATCTGCTTACATCCTATTTTAGCAGCCAACTCATGGGTTGCCAGGAGTTTATAATATACCCATCTCAAAATAAAAATGCCTCTCCCGCAAATTGTAAGAGAGATCAACAGATTGGTAGCAGGACAAGGGTTCTCATGGTGCCCAGTGGGGTGAAAGTCTCTCGGAAACTTGCAAACCCCTATTTATGGGCTGAAAAGCTTATAGAGTTTCTTTTTAAGGATGTTTTCTTTTAAGGATGTTTTTAAGGATGTTGATATTTTCTTTTAAGGATGTTGAAACATTGCTGTCTTCATGTTCAACTCTTGGGCCATTGGAGACTTTGACCTCAGAGAAGTGGGAGAAGGAGGCGCCTTCAGGATTCACGTCCACCATCATCTCCTGAAGATGATGAGGGGATGAGGAGTGAAGGGCCTGCTTTCACATCCAGCTGGGATGTGACCGGCTTCCAGCCTGGAGCTCTGAGCATCCCGCAGGCTCTCCAGGCATCGCAACAGATGTGCAGGGAACACAGCAGGTACCAAGCCCACAGGCCTGCCCCTTCCCAAACTCCTGCCTCACGGAGCTTTGTAAAGGAGATCATCACCACGGAATTGAAGATACAGTCAGGGTAAGCTCTATTCTGTTCATCTCTCTGTTACTGAGGAAGGTTGTGAAGCAACGGAAGTCCAGGGCCCTGCTCTTTCCATTTTTGTGTTTCTTTCACACCTGCCGGAAAACCATTTTCCCAGTCCTGATACGCACAGCCCCAGGCTGCACCCTCGCGTGCACGCACACACTCTCTCACACACACTCACACACACCCCTCAGCTCTCTCTTGCTAATTACTTCTCTCTAAAAACCACAACTCAGGATGGAGAACAAAACAATCAAACATCTTCACTTAAGGTTATTCTCGTATTTAGAGGATACGTATTAGCTTGAGTGATGGATAAGTCCAAATGTGTGAGGCATCGGGGGGGCCCCAGTGGTCTGAGGAGTCGCAGGGCACGTGAGGGGTGGGCATGGTGCTGTGGTCTTCAAGGATTTTGACTGATTGGGATAACAAGTCGTGGACTTCACTGCAAAGCACAGGATGACAGAAAGATCTGAGGGCTGTTCAGAGACCTGGGCTTTTTCTACCACCGAGACAGGGCAAGTTATTTTAGAGGATGCAAGGCAGATACTTTGATGTGATTGACTTAGCATCAGAAAGGTTCATCTCACTGAATTTTTTTTTTTTTTTTTTTTGCGGTACGCGGGCCTCTCACTGCTGTGGCCTCTCCCGTTGCGGAGCACAGGCTCCGGACGCGCAGGCTCAGCGGCCATGGCTCACGGGCCCGGCCGCTCCACGGCATGTGGGATCTTCCCAGACAGGGGCACGAACCCGCGTCCCCTGCATCGGCAGGCGGACTCTCAACCACTGCGCCACCAGGGAAGCCCCATCTCACTGAATGTTAAGGCTCCTACTCTGCCTGCTCTTAGCCCTGGATTGGAGGGAAGGGCAATACATCACTGGATTCAAAATTCATGGTTCTGTATAATATTTATTATTTGGTGTTTACTAAGATCTGCTTTTTAAAAAAAATTTTTAACATCTTTACTGGAGTGTAATTGTTTTACAGTGTTTTGTTAGTTTCTGCTTTATAACAAAGTGAATCAACTATACATATACATATATCCCCATATCCCCTCCCTCTTGAGCCTCCCTTCCACCCTCCCTATCTCACCCCTCTAGGTCATCGCAAAGCACCGAGCTGATCTTCCTATGCTATGTGGCTGCTTCCTACTAGCTAACTGTTTTACATTCGGTAGTGCATACATGTCACTACTCTAACTTCCTCCAATTCATTCTCTATGTCTATGTCTTTATTCCTGCCTTGCCACTAGGTTCATCAGTACCATTTTTTTTTTTAAGGTTCCAGATATATGTCTTAGCATTCGGTATTTGATTTTCTCTTTCTGACTTACTTTACTCTGTATGACAGACTCTGTGTCCATCCACCTCACTACAACTAACTCAGTTTCGTTTCTTTTTATGGCTGAGTAATATTCCATTGCATATATATGCCAGATCTTCTTTATCCATTCATCTTTGATGGACACTTAAGTTGCTTCCATGACTTGGCTATTGTAAATAGTGCTGTAATGAACATTGTGGTACATGTCTCTTTTTGAATTATGGTTTTCTCAGGGTATATGCCCAGTAGTGGGATGCTGGGACATATGGTAGTTCTATTTTTAGTGTTTTAAGGAACCTCCATACTGTTCTCCATAGTGGTTGTATCAATTTGCATTCCCACCAACAATGCAGGAGGGTTCCTTTTTCACCACACCCTTTCCAGCATTTATTGTTTCTAGATTTTTTGATAATGGCCATTCTGACCAGTGTGAGGTGATACCCCATTGTAGTTTTGATTTGCATTTCTCTAATAATTAGTGATGTTGAGCAGCTTTTCATGTGCCTCTTGGCCATCTGTATGTCTTCTTTGGTGAAATGTCTATTTAGGTCTTCCACCCATTTTTTTCATTGAATTGTTTATCTTTTTGATATTGAGCTCCATGAGCTGTTTGTATATTTTGGAGATTAATCCTTTGTCTGTTGTTTCATTTGCAAATATTTTCTCCCATTCTGAGGGCTGTCTTTTCATCTTGTTTATGGCCTCCTTTGTTGTGCAAAAGCTTTGAAGTTTAATTAGGTCCCATTTGTTTATTTTTGTTTTTATTTCCATTACTCTAGGCAGTGGGTCAAAAAAAGATCTTGCTGTGGTTTATGTCAAAGAGTGTTTTCCTCTAAGAGTTTTATACTGTGTGGTCTTACATTTAGGTCTTTAATCCATTTGGAGTTTATTTTTGTATATAGTGTTAAGTAGTGTTCTAATCTCATTCTTTTACATGTAGCTGTCCAGTTTTCCCAGCACCACTTATTGAAGAGACTGTCTTTTTTCCATTGTATGTTCTGGTATCCTTTGTCATAAATTAGGTGACCATATGTGCATGGGTTTATCTTTGGGCTTTCTATCCTGTACAATTGAACTATATTTCTGTTTTTGTGCCAGTACCATACTGTCTTGATTACTGTAGCTTTGTATTATAGTTTGAAGTCAGGAAGCCTGATTCCTCCAGCTCTGTTTTTCTTTCTCAAGATTGCTTTGGCCATTCGGGGTCTTTTATGTTTCCATACGAATTGTAAAATTTTTTGCTCTAATTCTGTAAAGGATGACATTGGTAGTTTGATAGGGATGGCATTGAATCTGTAGATTGCTTTGGGTAGTATTGTCATTTTCACAATATTAATTCTTCCAATCCAAGAACATGGTGTATTTCTCCATCTGTTTATGTCATCTTTGATTTCTTTCATCAGTGTTTTATAGTTTTCTGAGTACAAGTCTTTCACCTCCTTAGGTAGGTTTATTCCTAGGTATTTTATTCTTTTTGTTGCAATGGTAAATGGGATTGTTTCCTTAATTTCTCTTTCTGAGTTTTCATTGTTAGTGTATAGGAATGCCAGATATTTCTGTGCATTAATTTTATATCCTGCAACCTCACCAAATTCATTGATTAGTTCTAGTAGTTTTCTGGTGGCACCTTTAGGATTTTCTGGTGGTATCATGTCATCTGCAAACAGTGACAGTTTTACTTCTTATTTTCCAATTTTTATTCCTTTTATTTCTTTTTCTTCTCTGATTGCCGTGGCTAGGACTTCCAATACTACGTTGAATAAGAGTGGTGAGAGTGGACATCCTTGTCTAGTTCCTGATCTTAGTGGAAATGTTTTCAGTTTTTCACCATTGAGTATGATGTTTGCTGTGGGTTTGTCATATATGCCCTTTATTATGTTGAGGTAGGTTCTCAGTAGGCCCATTTTCTAGAGAGTTTTTATCATAAATGGGTGTTGAATTTTGTCAAAAGCTTTTTCTGCATCTACTGGGATGATCATATGGTTTTTATTCCTTAATTTGTTAATGTGGTGTATCACATTGATTGATTTGCATATATTGATGACTCTTTGCATCCCTGGGATAAATCCCACTTGATCATGGTGTATGCTCCTTTTAATATATTGTTGGATTCTGTTTGCTAGTATTTTGTTCAGGATTTTTGCATCCATGTTCATCAGTGATATTGGTCTGTAATTTTCTTTTTGTGTGATATCTTTCTCTGGTTTTGGTATTAGGGTGATGGTGGCTTCACAGAATGAATTTGGGAGTGTTCCTCCCTCTGAAATTTTTTGGAAGAGTTTGAGAAGGATCGGTGTTAGCTCTTTTCTAAATATTTTATAGAATTCGCCTGTGAAGCCATCTGGTCCTGTATCCTTAATACTTTAAATTTCTTGGTTGATTAGTCATTGAAAGAGGTATAAACATCACTATTATTTTAGATTTATCACATTTCCATGTTATTCTCTCAATTCTGAATTTATTCAGTTTGTAGCTATATGGGGTTCAAAGCTGTTCCAAATTGTTACAGTTTCCTGGTGATTTGTCCCTTTTATAATTCATTAGTTATATGCACTGCATCAAGTAAACTTTGCCTGATACTAATGATGAAACATCAACTTTCCTTTGGTTAGTATTTGTCCCGTTTTCTTCTCTTACATTATTTTCAGCACTTGTTTCAGACCAAATGAAAATGTATCTTTTATCTGGGAGGTTTTATCCAATTACATTTCCTGTGTATGTTCATTCAAATAGGCCTGAATCTACACCCTTACTTTGTGCCTTATGTTTGCTAGACTTTTGCTTGTTTTCCTACCCTCATCCCTATACTATCTTCTTGAAAACAAATCAAGCTGTTTTATAGTTTCTATTTTTTCTCTACTGGTTGGGAAGTTATACATCTTATACCTATTCTTTGTGGTGGTTAAGCTTAATTTTTTTTTTTTTTTTTTTGCGGTACGCGGGCCTCTCACTGCTGTGGCCTCTCCCGTTGCGGAGCACAGGCTCCGGACGCGCAGGCTCAGTGGCCATGGCTCATGGGCCCAGCCGCTCCGCGGCATGTGGGATCCTCCCGGACCGGGGCACAAACCCGCGTCCCCTGCATCGGCAGGCGGACTCTCAACCCCTGCGCCACCAGGGAAGCCCAAGCTTAATTTTTAATTAAAAAACACTTTGAAAAAAATCTCAAACTTACAGAAAAGTTGCAATTACAGCACAAAGAATACTGATGCAACATCTTTATGTAATACTTAATGTGTATTTCCTACAAACAAGGGCATTCTCCTATATAACTGCAATACAACCATGAACATTTTGAAAGTAGTATACCTGCATTCTTACCAGTTGATGCAAAGACCTCATTCTCATTTTCCTTAGTGTGCCAATAATTTCCTTTAGAGTTAAAGGATCCGATTCAGAACCACCAATAGCTTAAATTGTCACCTTTCCTTAATCTGGAAAGGTTCTTCGTTTTTTCCTTGATTTTACGTCCTTGGCTCTTTCGAAGATTTTAGGCCAGTTATTCTGTAGAATGCCCCTCAGTTCCGCTTCATCCAGTGTTTCCTAATTCCTGTTAAAGATGCACACCCTGAATCTAATCATACCACAGAAATGCCATGTGTTTCGTTCTTGGTATCCTATCAGGTGTTGTGTAATTCCAATTAGTCCTTTTGTGAATTATGGTCACTTTAAGCACTTGATGAAGGTGGTATTTCTCCATGTAAGTTTGCTCTTTTTCCCTTTATAATTAATAAGTTCTTTGTGGTGAGAGACTTTGAAACTATGAAAATATCTAATTTCCCATCAGATTTTCAATTTACTAACTGTATCAGTATAGACTCATGGCTTCCTTTTTCATTCAAGGTGTTACAATCTCTTATTAATGATATTTATTTTCATGTTCAAATTGTTCCAAATTTGGCCTCTTTAACCTGACTGTTATCTTTTGATGTGTCCCGTCGTTTTTGTGTATTTCCTATCCCTTACTTCCTATTTCTGTTACAATGATTCTGCTCCAAACCTGAAATCCGCCATATCTCCAAGCATCGCTGACTTCTTACAGTGGAGGATGATACTGAGACACCAAGATCTGGGCACTAGGTGTGCTCAGCTCTAATGGGAGGTCACAGCTCCCACCACCCAGGTGACACAGTGAGAAGTTAAATGTCTGTTAGTTTTTCTCTTTAAACTTTAATTTGAGATGAGCCACATCCACAGGGTGTTTATACCTGGTGACAGCCAGCACTCCTCAGTTGACTGTGGGGAGTCTCAAATGGCAGGCTCACAGGGAAGGCAGAGGCTTGTCTACCTGAAGAATCTTCATGGGCCCCATACAGTCAATCAATTTTCCTACCACCACACTGAGCCCAGGCTTAGCTGGCATGGGTGTGGGGGGAGTCTCTTGGGGTCTATGTAGGTGCTTAGTAAGACCTGGAATAGTAAGTGGAAAGCTTTCCTCATATGGGGACTGTTTCTAATGAAATCCTCCTTAGCGTGTCAGGAAGTGGAACACATCGCTAGGGACCTTGCCAGTGGTGGGGGGGATCGTGGGCATCTGAACATTTAACAGTGGGAGATGTGATTGTTCTGGAAGATGCCTGGGTGCAGCTGTTAGTGACCCAGGATCATTCAACATTTGGAGACAGGAAAAGAGCTGGTATCAGGTCCAGTGGGGCCCAGATGGCTGGGGGAAACTAAAGACAGAGACTTCTTCCCCAGGAGGGAAACAATGGGAGGAGTAGACCTCAGAGAGGCAAGAGGTCTTGGGATTGTTAAGAAAAGAATGTCCATCGACAGCTGAATGGATAAAGAAGGTGTGGTATTGATATATATACACAATGGAGTACTACTCAGCCATAAAAAAGAATGAAATAATGCCATTTGCAGCAACTTGGATGGACCTAGAGATTATCATACTAAGTGAAGTAAACCAGACAGAGAAAGACAAATATCATATGGTATCGCTTATGTGTGGAATCTAAAAAAAAAAATGATACAAACGAACTTATATACAAAATAGAAATTGACTCACAGACACAGAAAACAAAATTATGTTTACCAAAGGGGAAAGGGGGGGATAAATTAGGAGTTTGGGATTAATATATACACACTACTGTATATAAAATAGATAACCAACAAGAACATACTATGTAGCACAGGGAACTGTATTCAATATCTTGTAATAATCTGTAAGGGAAAAGAATTTATATATATATATATGAATCACTTTGCTGTTTACCTGAAACTAACACAACACTGTAAATCAACTACACTTCAATTAAAAAAAAAAAGGAACTCAGATTAGGAGATGGGAATGTAACAAGACCCGGTTACCGGAAGTGGGACCCGGGTAAGCTGGTAAGATGGCACAGTGGTTAAGCCTGGGGCTGGCTTCCTGCCCTTGAGCTCGGGCTCCACCTCTGTCGACGGCTGTGATCTAGGGCACAGGGTGTAACCTCTCTGTGCCTCCACGACCTCTTCTGCAAACTGGGATCGTGAACCAGCCACACCACAGGGTCGTTGGGAGGGTGACATAACACAAGTTAAGGTTTAACCAGTGACAGACACAGATGTTAGCTGCTATTTTCACTTAAGGACAAAGCAGAAGGCCAGTCGTTGGAACCAAGGCCCGAGGTCAGGCCAAGTTTTCAGCCAGTTGGACTCGTTCTCTCTGCTTCGACGTTGAACTTGATCCAAGGCTTTGAGGAGAGGCAGGTGGGCAGGGGGCGTGGTGGTGGCGGGGGAAGAAAACTCCCAACTTAGCAGCTGGAGCGTGGAGTGTGTCTCAGACTATCGCTTCTCCCAGGGGCAACGATGCTCCCTCACTGGGAGCCACTCGGTGCAAGTCCGCCAGGCCTGTGTCAGTTCCTCCATCATCTCGGGTTGGACTTAGGGAGTCACGATGTTTTCTATTTCTTTGGAGACAAGGGAAAGCCACGCAAACATGGCAAACAACGGCCAGTTCTGCAAGCATCTTTCCTCCCCTCCCCGCCTCCCTTCCCCGAAAGCACTGGAGCAAAGGGAATGAGGGTAAATTGAAAAGCAAACTCACCTTACAAGCACATAAAAAAGATCAAATGCAAGGGTGGGGGAGGAGAGGAGGTTGCGGACCAAACAGCCGGGCCTTAGGGAGACTTAAGAGGAATCCCAGGATTGAGCCATAAAATTTTATGGCATCCTAGGAATAGTTGAACGTTTCCTCGTTTGTGGTGCTGAGATTTTATGAGCCAAACAGGCGATCTTTAAAGCTTGTTTTCCTTTGCTCTTCAATAGGTTTAATTAAGCTTGGACTTGAGGCTTCAAGTTGTTTGAAAACTTGAGATTTACAACAAAACGACCCAAGTAACCTATATAACCAGTGAAACAGGTAAGGACTGGATTGGTTATGTGTGCGTCCCCAGTGGGCTAATAATTTGACACCCTTTCAAAGCAAAAATTTTAATGTTTTTCCTTAGCCATCACTCAGAGCATGCTGAAACAAAAATCTTTAAGCTGTGTTTGGGACTCCCCTGGTGGCGCAGTGGTTAAGAATCCACCTGCCAATGCAGGGGACATGGGTTTGAGCCCTGGTCCAGGAAGATCCCACATGCTGCAGAGCAACTAAGCCCATGCGCCACAACTACTGAGCCTGCGCTCTAGAGCCCTCGAGCCACAACAACTGAAGCCCGCGCACCTAGAGCCCGTGCTCCGCAACAAGAGAAGCTCCGCTTGCCGCAACTAGAGAAAGCCCATGCACAGCAATGAAGACCCAACGCAGCCAAAAATAAATTAAAAAAAAAAATCTTTAAGCTGTGTTTACACATCTTCTGTTGGACAGTGGTTACCATGGAACATTGGATGGTAACTCATCGTCCTGACGGTCAAACCTAGTGAGCTCCCTGACTCGTGGTGCTGAGGGAAACCGCCCCCACCCCTCTATTTCCTCTGAATGACGTGATGGGTTCCCTGCCCACTAGAAGCTTCTGGTATGTTTAAATGAGCTACGGGCTTAGACTTGAACACTTGGGGTGAAGGCAGGCACAGAACACTCTCATTCTCCCTGAAGCAGAAGTTCCTACCGGACACCCAATCCCTCCAGCTCCACAGAGGCCTGCCCTTGACTCACGGCAGACACTCTGTATCAATATGGCAACCGAAGCTGCCTCTGTCCCAGCGACTTCTTTATGTGTGGAATTTCTCCAAGAGGCATGAAAAATAAGTAACTACATCACAACTTAGTGTCTTTTCTTCTCTGTGTCCACTGTGTTTGATTAGTCTTCAGCTCTGGGTCGAAATTTTACTAGGTTATAACGTCTGTGGGCTGTTCAGCTACCAGCAACCTTTTAGACAGGCCATTTAAAGATTCGCGGGACACCATCCATAAAAGTCATTGGCGTTGCCTCTTTGGATGAGGAACAAGAAATAGTCAAGAGTTTCCAGTTCAAGTTCTTCATTTTACACATGGGAAAAGCGAGGCCCCCAAGGATACAGTGACTGGTGCAAAGCTACTCCATTTCCTGCAGAAGACCTGGGTCTCGAAGCTGGCTCTCCCGGATCTCACTTCTGCTTTCGTCCCACACGTGGCAGGGATGCACATTCTTAATTATTCTATTAAGCAGATACAGTCAGCACTAACATTTGCACCAGGTCCAATGTTAGCAAGTATTAGCACTAGTCAATCCGTGCTGTTGTTATCCCCATGCCACAGAGGAGGAGCCCTAGAAAGGCTACTGACTTGCAAGGTCAGAGTTTGTGAAAGGCTGTGTGCCCTGAGAACACAGCAGCTCTACCCCAGAGTCCGTGCTCCAGCTGCCCCCCGTGCTCTGTCATCTCCACCGTTCCACGCTACAAGCAGGTATATAGGTGTCGGCCCTTGAGATATAATATCTCCATCTGGAAAGACAGACCTTAGCTCAACAGGCAACATCAAATCAAGGTTTGACTACGTATCAGCTCGAAAGTTACTTTTCAGGAATGGTTTTCTTTCCAATGTTAAGATCCTTTGAGGATCTCAAAAAAAATCATTTCTTTCTCCTCATTGTTGCCTTGTGGGCCGAAGGAATGTTAATACGTTTATCTTCGGTGTCCTAATTATTCAAAGGGTTATGGGAAGAGAGAGCTAGGCTGTTTTCCCATGCAAGTCTCAGCCAGGAGAGTTCTTTTTTCACCTTGATGTAGAAAGCAAAGCAAGAAACATAATTCTCAAAGGTGACTCACACCTGCTAAGATTCCTGTGTTATGGGCAAATATCAAAGCCACGAGAGACTTTGGCTCTTTTTGGCTTTCTCAGCTATTTTGTGATAGAATGGAGGGGAATGATGTGAAGAGAGTCATCTGATTTGAGGTTGGAGTGAAGGTAAGTGTTTATCTGAAATCAGTCTGAAAAATCCTATAGTTCTTTAGGGGTCAATCAGCACTATTAATGAAAAGGCGAGGTGAATACACAATGAGAGTTAATGGGTCTTTTTAAAACGTTTCACCTGGGATTTAACCCACACTCTGCCACTCTTGGGCTATGTGAACGTGGGCAAAGTCATAGCATTTTTTTGGCCTAGACTCTAGAAAATGGACTTATTCTGAATGAACATGACTATGTTTTTGGGTTGACGTTGGGACACGTGCATGGGAGCTGCGTGAGAGAGAGATGCATGTTGGGGGGAAGGTAGCATGGCCCTTCTTGCCGGGGAGAGGAGGCTCCGATGGGGAACTCACGTGGCAGCTCAGGGAGTGGACAGGTGGTGGACCACCTTAGCCTGGCGAGGAAAGGGCTGTCATTTCATTTTTTTATTATTATTTTTTTGTTTTTTGCGGTACGCGGGCCTCTCACTGCTGTGGCCTCTCCCGTTGCAGAGCACAGGCTCCAGACGCGCAGGCTCAGCGGCCATGGCTCACAGGGCCCAGCCGCTCCGCGGCATGTGGGATCTTCCCGGACTGGGGCATGAACCCGTGTCCCCTGCATCGGCAGGCGGGCTCTCAACCACTGCGCCACCAGGGAAGCCCAGGGCTGTCATTTCAGCAGAGTGCCAGCCTCTGGGACTTTGGTAGAAGAGGATGCAAGTCACCCGTGCCTCTGATTTTGGCCATGAGAACGGTAATTGGAAGCGATGAACAAAGTCAGTTAACAATATTCACGAGTCCGTGAGAAAAGACCCCTTACAGAAGGCTAAAGGTGCACAACGTGTGAAAAGAATCCTCAAATCATTTTAGAGACATTTGGTGAAAATTGAAAATGTCCCATCATAACCGAACTGCAAATTTCAGCCACAAATAGAAATGCTAAGTGAGAGGTACAGTGGAGAAGGGGTAGAAGAGTCGAGAGAGATGGGAACAAGGGCAGGGGAGGGGAAAGGAATTACGTCGGAGGGAAACGGATTAATGGAAAACCCAACTAATGAGGCCCTCGAGGTGAGCTCCCCCCGCCCCGTCCCCCAGTACCACTGGGAATTGGGATTTACTCTTGAAATGGTTTTGGGAGAAAGGGCTCAGACTTGTGGGGAGAGCGTCAGGGCAAGTTTACTGAGCTTATCAAAGGGGATGTCTCTGCCTGTCCTCTCTGGGAATGAACCCTGGGGTATTCGTCAGCTGGGGCTGCCATCACTAATGGCACAGGACTTAAACACCAGAACTTTATCTGTTCACGGTTCTGGAGGCTGGAAGCCCACAATGAAGGTATCAGCCAGGTCGGTTCCCCCAGAGGCCTCCTTGGCTTGCAGATGGCCGTCTCTTCACCAGGTCCTCACAGAGCCGTCCCTCTTTACACAGCACTCCTGGCTCTCTTTCTGTGTGTCCAAATTTCCTCTTCTTATAAGGACGCCAGTCAGACTTGATTATCAACCACTCTAAGGACATCATTTTGCCTTAAACACCTCTTTCAAGGCCCTATTTCCAAATACAGTCGTGTTCTGAGGCGCTGGGGGTTAAAACTTCAGCATAGGAATTTGGAGGGGGCGGACACAACTCAGCCCATGACACCGGGAAAGAGGGAGAACAAAGACTGCGATACACAAGTCCAGTGAAAGAGGAAGGCGTGTGACGGGTGCTGAAGGAAAACAAAGCATCCATACAGTATAAGACATAGAATAAAAAGTCGTCTAAACAGTACCGTTCTCTTGCTGTGATTAAGACTTCTTTTGGCCCTGGCACCTTCAGAGACTATAGACTCCAGTGATGAAAACTCAGAAAGCATGCCAAATGTGGCCTGAATCAACACCCCTCATTTACTTCCCACTTAGCTTCACCAGAGGAGTCTTGCTGACTCTCCGTGACAGGTAGGCATCCTATGGTCAAAAAGATTTGTGGTAGGTTATGAAAACATCCGGGGATTATGTTCTAGTATCAGTGGTAGCCAGACTGGAATTATTGCATCTTGACGTGGTACCGTGGTGATGTCTCAGTAGGCTGAGCAAAGATTAAACTCCAAGTGTTATACAGAGAAAACACTTGTCATAGTTCCCTGCTGTCATGTTACTTGCTGGACACCATTGTCTGACCCAGGCCTGGACATCACAATTTTACATGCTGGGGAGCCCCTGGCTTTAGCCAAGACCCTCTCTTTCTGGAAGCAACGTTTGCTAACAGGCTCACGTTCAGGACACTTGTTTGTTTGTCTTATGGGTCGTTAGCCGTATTTGGATGGGCAGGATGGAGGCTTGTCTTAAGAAGCTTCCCTCTCATCCTTCCGCTGCCTGCACCTGCCAGCTAGCTCTCTGCCTCAGAGACTCCTCAGTCATCTCTTGTTGTCCTGAAGTCTGAATGTTTGTTAAAAGTAGGTGTAGCAGGTGAGTGATAGTTCAGACAGGTTCGTGTGCGTAATATCCTTCACCTTGGCTAAGGCAAGGTCCATGGTCAGAAACAAGAGTTTCTGGCACCTGGTGTTTTGCGAGTAATTGGAGTCTGGTGGTTACCGTCAGGAGAGAGATTGTAAATGGAACCGAAACAGCTCCACGTCCTTGTTTTTTGTTTCATTTATTTTCTCTATCGTTTTCCTGTTTTGAATTGCCTTGATTTCTGTTCTTAGAGTCATTCTATCCTTCCTTTGGGTTTATTTTGCTCTTCTTCTTCTAGCTTTTTGAAGTGGGAGGTTATATTATTGATTTGAGACTTTTCCTCTTTTCTGATACAGACGTTCGTGCCGTTAATGTCCCCTCTACTACTACTTTAGCTGTGCCCCACGAATTTTGATTTGTTCCCTTTTCATTTTCTTTCAGTTCCATGTATTTTAAAATAATTTCCTTGAGGCTTCCTTTTCACCCAAGGATTATTTAGACGGGTGCCATTTAGCTGCAGCTCAGGACAAGGTCTATTTTTTTATTTATTATTATTTGGCTGCATCAGGTCTTAGTGTGGCACACGGGATCTTTAGTTGCAGTGCATGCACTCTTTGGTGTGGCGTGTGGGCTTCTCTAGTTGTGGTGCGCAGTCTCATTAGTTGTGGCACGGGGGCTTAGTTGCCACGTGGCATGTGGGATCCTAGTTCCTCAACCAGGGATCAAACTCACGTCTCCTACATTGGAAGGTGGATTCTTAACCACTGGACCACCAGGGAAGTCCCGGATAAGGTCTATTTTAGTACATTTTTTTCATGGACACTTGAAAAGAATATGTATTCTACTGTTATTGGATGGAGTATTATATAAATGTTGATTGGATCTTGTTGCTTGATGGTGTTGTTGAGTTCTTCTGTATCCTTCCTGAGTTTCAGTCTAGTTATGTCAATTGTTGAGAGATGGGTGTTGCAGTCTTCAACTATAAGTAGAGATTTATCTGTTTCTCCTTTAGTTCTATCAGTTTTTGCTTCACATGTTTTGCAGCTCAGTTGTTTGGTGCATACACAATTAGGATTGATATGTCTTCTTGGTAGATGGACCCATTTACTGTTGTATAATGTCTCTTTCTGTCTATTAATTTTGTTTTGTCTGAAGTTTACTAATATCTGATATTAATATAGAGACTCCTGATTTCTTTTGATTAATGATTGCATAGTACATCTTTTTTCATTCTTTTACTTTCAAATTGCCTGCATGTTTATATTTGAGGTGAGTTTATTGCAGACAACATATAGTTGGGTAATGTTTTTTTAATCCACACTGCCAACTTCTTTCTTTAAACTGTTATATTTAGAGCATTTACATTTGAGTCATTACTGATATGTTAGGGCATAAGCTTTGCCCTTTTATTTTTGCTTTTCATTTGTTCTCTTTGTTTTTCATTTCTCTGTTTTCATTTTCCTGCCTTCCAATGGGTTTATTGAATTTTTTTTTTTGGATTTCATTGTGATATATCTATGATGCTTTTGAGTGTAACAATTTATATAGGTTTTTACTGGTTGCTTTAGGTATTGCATTATATATATATATGTATATATATATAGATATATATAGATATATATATGTATATAAAGCTTGTCACCTGTATTGGAGTCATCATATTACCAGGTTGAATGTATTTATCTTGTTTTGTGTGTTTCCAGAAACTGTGGTTTGGTGTCTGCCATTAATTTTGGAAATTTCTCTGCCATATTTCTCCTGTTCCCTTTTCTCCTCTTCCAGCATTCCAATTATGTTTATTTATTTTTCTCTATTAGGTGAGAAAGAAGGCTGGAGGGGGTTGGAGTGGGAAGAATTCTCTTCCACCTGCTGGGATAAATTTCTGACAAAATTTTTTCCCCTAGAGTAGGCTTTTGTTGTGAAACCAGTCTGGGCATATTTTGCAATGTTTACTCCTCTCCCCCCGTCAGAGCTGTGAGGGGAACTTTCTCAAATCTTCTCTGTGAGAACCTGGTGAAGTTTCTGGAGGAAAAGCCCATGGAAGTGTGGCTGCACCTCCCTCCAAGCTTCAGCCCAAAGGAGTTTCTTACGCTTATGCCAGTAACGCTCAGCCTCCAGCAATCCATCAGAATTATCACTTAGGTGTTCTGCCAGTTTATGGCTGCAGGTAACGATCTCAGCTGTGACTCTTTGTAGCCACAGATTTGGAGGAGGGGGCGTTTTCTCTGCCACTTCAGTTCTCTAATGGGGCCAGTAAAAATCTTTGATTTTTCAGTATGTCCAGCTTTTTCTGGTTATAAGGACAAAAGTGACGACTTCCAAGCTCTTTACATATTTGATCCGAGTCTGGAAGTCTTTCACACTATATTTTCATTGTTGTTTACTTGAGTTCGTTGAAGGAAGAGACTGCAAGTTCAGGATCTAGGATGCTGACTGGAGAGAAAGTAAGATTCAAAACTAATTGGGTAAATAAATTAAATGCTCCTTTGAAGGGGCTAAAGCCATCAGCATTTTAAAGATGGGAAAACTAGAGTTCAGATATTAAACAATTTAGCTTAACAATCAGTAGGGACCATATCCTGGGACTTTTGATCCAAATTTTATATTCTTTTTTTTTTTTCTGGTACGCAGGCCTCTCACTGCCGTGGCCCCTCCCATTGCAGAGCACAGGCTCCGGACGCGCAGGCTCAGCGGCCATGGCTCACGGGCCCAGCCGCTCCGTGGCACGTGGGATCTTCCCGGACCGGGGCACGAACCCGTCCCCCGCATCGGCAGGCGGACCCTCAACCACTGCGCCACCAGGGAAGCCCCAGATTTTATATTCTTGCTGTAAGCAACCTTTGTAATTTAATGTTATACTGCATTTACTCAGTGCTGTATAAATTAAAGGGAGGGAAAAACGATATGTGCTGAAGTAATGAGGACTAAATTTATAGAAGTTATTTATAGAATATATTGAACTAGATTCCAAAGGAGGCTAGACTTTACTTGATTGATGGGAGAGAGGGCTCCAGGTGTTTTCTAGGGAACAGAGTAAGAAAAATGAGCATTGCTTGATGGGAATAAGCCACCACAGGAAATGAAGCTGGAGAGTAAAGTGGGGCTAACCGTCTCATTTGAAAATTAAAAATAATTCCGTCTTGTGTTTCACAATCTGGACAAGTAGTTCTTGGTTTCATGTCAGAGTGACCAGGTGGTTAACTCTTCCACGGCATTTAAGATTGATAGTGTTAGCGGGTCTCTCCTCAGTGACTTGCCTCTCCTCCTGCACCATGAGGTCCTAAAAATCAGAAAACAAGACTTATGCATGTTGTTCTCTAATGCAGCACCCAGACAGTGCCTTTTGGAGGGGGCACATAGGAAGGCTGTGTGGAAAGAACGGATGCCTTGCCAGGGTGGCGAGTACTGTGTCTGCCTGAAGGTTTGTGCGTCAGTACCCGGAAGCAGGTAAGAATGAGCTGACGTTCCCGTGTGGATGGAAAGGATGAGCTAAAGAGGGGCAATGCGAATCAGGAGAGGCTTGAGGCACCAAAACAGTTTCAGAAATTAATGACCCAACTAACTCCTCGAATTGTAATAATGCTAAGAGCCTTCCAGAGATGCACCTTTAGGAAAAACACTCAAATACGTTTGGGGCTTGAACATCCCAGCCAGACTAGTCACAGACTGTCTTACGATCAAAGCAACGGGAGCTAGAGGAGGACTTATCTTCCTCCTTTGCCTTCCGATCCACAAAATTTCTCTGAGGCCCAGCCAAGAGAGGCTGCTTGCTTGAAGCTGGACATGTCCACTGGTCAGTGATGTTGCCTCCGGAAGAACTTTGGGCTGTAACCTTGGAGATGACGGTGGTCTGTCGGGTGTGGAAGCGGTGGGGTCCTGGAAATCTGGGGTATAGTCTTTGAGCCAGCTTCTTGATATGGTGTTCTCAGAGGGGAATACCCTCTGTCTCCCAAATTCTTAATTCCTTTCTCAGCTCAAAGAGTCAGACTCTTCGTCTCGACCATGAAATGACGTGGATATGATGCTTTCTGAGTGTGGCAACGAAGTAAATGAAGAAGTAGGATTTAGATAAAGCCATGGATTCATAACAGACAATTAGGACTGAAGCGTGAGAAGTAGGCCATCTCAGGAGACGTGTATTACGAAGTACTTCCCACTATTAGAAGTTTTCTAGAACGCCCCCTGAAAGGTGGCAGCTTAGCCACAATGTTATTAATAGCTCCTGTTCCAGGGAGTTTCTGCCTTATAAGTCACCTGAGCAACATGGTGTCATAGCTGGAGTTGTCAGGAGTTCATGGAGATTAAATCTGCCTCAATAGAAGAAAGGGAAACTAGGGATGGCTGAGGAATGAGGTTGATATTGTGGAATATTATGGAATAAAAACGTGTCCTGTACAAAGGGTCTCTTACAGCCATCTTAGAGATGCTTAAGTAGGTAGCCAGGGGCTCATGACCAAGGTAATAAGGAATAACCCTGAGCTTGCAAAATAAAGGCTAAAACAGGAATGGTGGGCTGGAAAAAGACAAGAAGAGGATTGTGGAAATCAGGGTGAAGGCAAAACAGTGCAGCCAACTGGCCGGCATGGCATTCCAGAGCCAGGGACTTGGTAATATCTCCCTAATCCCCCTTTCTGCAGTGTCTCTGATCCTTTGGGAGCATCTCTGCCTAATTATGCAGCCATGTAACTGTCAGGTAAGAAAGAAAATTAACCCTGTTTAGGCAAGCATCTGGCAGATGGAGGAGAGATTCATTACTCCCAGAAATGCATCTTGCTTCTGTCAACCTAAAGAAAGTGAAATGTTTTCTCCTGGAAATGTAATCATGGAGGTTATTCCATCACACTTTTAAACTTCTACTTTCTCCCTAAAGAACTTTTTTCTCCTACTTGGAGATGTTGCAGAATCCATTATTTGATACGATGCCGGTTGTTATAAGTAACATTTCTTCCTGCACTAACTGGATAGAAATGCTCAATTTAATATATTGGATTTGGGGAAACCATTTTCCCATCTTCTCCAGTTAATTGTACATTATAACATGTTAATTATAAGTGTAAATATAATGTCAAGGGGATTCAGGGAAAATATGCAATGACTTTCAAAAGGAAATTCAGAATCTATTTGTGGTTGGGTTTTTGGTGTGTATGTGTGTAGTTTCCGTGATGTCTCTTTTCCAAGGTCAGAGCTTCTCCGAACTGCCTGCTGTAGGTGTATAATAAAGAGGTAGGTAAGGAACAGAGAGCTGTAAATGGTAGATATGGGTTTTACCTAATATCCGTCTCTTTGACACACAACCAACTGGAGGAAATAGCAGGGTATCTGTTTTCGTATTTTTTCGTACACTCTACATACATTGTGATTGTGTTTATATGTCATCAGGGGACCACAAATTCCTTAAGCTATTTTCAAGTATTTGGAGATTTTCCTGTTGATGCTAGAGCTGCAGCAGCCTAATATTCTTCTTTTTTAAAAAATTGAAGTACAGTTGATTTACGAGGTTGTGTTAGTTTCAGGTGTGCAGCAAAGTGATTCAGTTATGTGTGTACGTGTGTGCATCTGTATATACATGTTCTTTTTCATATTCTTTTCCATTATAGGTTATTACAAGATATTGAACATAGTTCCCTGTGCTATACAGTAGGTCTTTGTTGTTTATCTATTTTATATACAGTAGTATGTATCTGTTAATCCCAAACTCCTAATTTATCCCACCCCCTCCTTTGCCCTTTGGGAACCATAAGTTTGTTTTCTATCTGTGAGTCTATTTTTGTTTTATAAATAAGTTCATTTGTATTATTTTTTAGACTCCACCTATAAGTGATATCATATATTTGTCTTTCTCTGACTTCACTTAGTATGATAATCTCTAGGTTCATCCATGTTGCTGAAAACGGCAAGATTTCATTCTTTATTATGTCTGAGTAATATTCCACTGTATCTATGTACCACATCTTCTTTATCCACTCATCTGTTGATGGGCATTTAGGTTGTTTCCATGTCTTGACTATTGTCAATAGTGCTGCTATGTACATTGGGGTGCATGTATCTTTTTTTTTTTTTTAACATCTTTATTGGGGTATAATTGCTTTACAATGGTGTGTTAGTTTCTGCTTTATAACAAAGTGAATCAGTCATACATAAACATATGTTCCCATATGTCTTCCCTCTTGCGTCTCCCTCCCTTCCACCCTCCCTATCCCACCCCTCCAGGCTGTCACAAAGCACCGAGCCAATATCCCTGTGCCATGCGGCTGCTTCCCACTAGCTATCTACCTTACTACGTTTGTTAGTGTGTATATGTCCATGACTCTCTCTCGCCCTGTCACAGCTCACCCTTCCCCCTCCCCATAACCTCAAGTCCGTTTTCTAGGAGGTCTGCATCTTTATTCCTGCCTTACCCCTAGGTTCTTCATGACATTTTTTTTTCTTAAATTTCATTGGGGTTATCTCTGGGCTTTCTATCCTCTTCCATTGATCTATCTTTCTGTTTTTGTGCCAGTACCATACCGTCTTGATAACTGTAGCTTTGTAGTATAGTCTGAAGTCAGGGAGCCTGATTCCTCCAGTTCCTTTTTTCGTTCTCAAGATTGCTTTGGCCATTCGGGGTCTTTTGTGTTTCCATACAAATTGCAAAAATTTTTGTTCTAGTTCTGTGACAAATGCCAGTGGTAGTTTGATAGGGATTGCATTGAATCTATAGATTGCTTTGGGTAGTAGAGTCATTTTCACAATGTTGATTCTTCCAATCCAAGAACATGGTATATCTCTCCATCTATTTGTATCATCTTTAATTTCTTTCATCAGTGTCTTATAATTTTCTGCATACAGGTCTTTTGTCTCCTTAGGTAGGTTTATTCCTAGATATTTTATTCTTTTTGTTGCAATGGTAAATGGGAGTGTTTTCTTGATTTCACTTTCAGATTTTTCATCATAAGTATGTAGGAATGCCAGAGATTTCTGTGCATTAATTTTGTATCCTGCCACTTTACCAAATTCATTGATTAGCTCTAGTAGTTTTCTGGTAGCATCTTTAGGATTCTCTATGTATAGGATCATGTCATCTGCAAACAGTGACAGCTTTACTTCTTCTTTTCCGATTTGGATTCCTTTTATTTCCTTTTCTTCTCTGATTGCTGTGGCTAAAACTTCCAAAACTATGTTGAATAAGAGTGGTGAGAGTGGGCAACCTTGTCTTGTTCCTGATCTTAGTGGAAATGCTTTCAGTTTTTCACCATTGAGGATGATGTTTGCTGTGGGCTTGTCATATATGGCCTTTATTATGTTGAGGAAAGTTCCCTCTATGCCTACTTTCTGCAGGGTTTTTATCATAAATGGGTGTTGAATTTTGTCAAAAGCTTTCTCTGCATCTATTGAGATGATCATATGGTTTTTCTCCTTCAGTTCGTTAATATGGTTTATCACATTGATAGATTTGCGTATATTGAAGAATCCTTGCATTCCTGGAATAAACCCCATTTGATCATGGTGTATGATCCTTTTAATGTGCTGTTGGATTCTGTTTGCTAGTATTTTGTTGAGGATTTTTGCATCTATGTTCATCAGTGATATTGGTCTGTAGTTTTCTTTCTTTGTGACATCCTTGTCTAGTTTTGGTATCAAGGTGATGGTGGCCTCATAGAAGGAATTTGGGAGTGTTCCTCCCTCTGCTATATTTTGGAAGAGTTTGAGAAGGATAGGTGTTAGCTCTTCTCTAAATGTTTGATAGAATTCACCTGTGAAGCCATCTGGTCCTGGGCTTTTGTTTGTTGGAAGATTTTTAATCAGAGTTTCAATTTCAGTGCTTGTGATTGGTCTGTTCATATTTTCTATTTCTTCCTGATTCAGTCTTGGCAGGTTGTGCATTTCTAAGAATTTGTCCATTTCTTCCAGGTTGTCCATTTTATTGGCATAGAGTTGCTTGTAGTAATCTCTCACGATCTCTTTTATCTCTGCAGTGTCAGTTGTTACCTCTCCTTTTTCATTTCTAATTCTATTGATTTCAGTCTTCTCCCTTTTTTTCTTGATGAGTCTGGCTAGTGGTTTATCTATTTTGTTTATCTTCTCAAAGAACCAGCTTTTAGTTTTATTGATCTTTGCTATTGTTTCCTTCATTTCTTTTTCATTTATTTCTGATCTGATTTTTATGATTTCTTTCCTTCTGCTAGCTTTGGGTTTTTTTTGTTCTTCTTTCTCTAATTGCTTGAGGTGCAAGGTTAGGTTGTTTACTCGAGATGTTTCCTGCTTCTTAAGGTGGGCTTGTATTGCTATAAACTTCCCCCTTAGAACTGCTTTTGCTGCATCCCACAGGTTTTGGGTCGTTGCGTCTCCATTGTCATTTGTTTCTAGGTATTTTTTGATTTCCTCTTTGATTTCTTCAGTGATCACTTCATTATTAAGTAGTGTATTGTTTAGCCTCCATGTGTTTGTATTTTTTAACAGATCTTTTC